TGTGTGTGTGTGTGTGTGTGTGTGTGTGTGTGTGTGTGTGTGTGTGTCTGAAACAGACGTGTCTGCGACGGTCCTGACAGTAGGATGCTCCCCATTTCATTCTTCTGGGATCGTAGTATGTCCTAAAACCCATCCCAGTGGAGATGCACTAGGCTGACATGGGACAGAGTCTGCAGTTGGAAGGGTTTTGCCTGGTAGTTGATTGAAGGCCCGGGTAACGGGATTAAGGTTCAGGGGTGTGTCCAGGAACAAGGCAAGGACAGCCCAGGACCCGCTCCATGTGGACAGTTCAGGCCGGGGGGTAGTCAGTGAGCGTGGCTTCGGATATATGGTTTACCAGCCTGTTGCTCTGAGCTTTCTCACGATTTGTGGATTCCAGCCGTGCCCATGTGCTCACGTTTGCCAGGGGTGCAGGGGCGCCGCAGTCCCATGGCGGCCAGCGAGGGTCCTGGGTTAGGGCTCTCCTCACAGCCACAGCAAACAGTGAGCTTGTCCGGAGCAGGACGCATCAGAGAAGAAAGAGCCAGGTTTACACTGTGGCTCTCGCCGTCAGCAGTAAAGGGTGTCGAACTCACACATCAGGGAGCTCAAGCCAAGTGTTCTAGGATGTGTTCCAGGCCTCGGGATTATTTCTTGGCTGAACAAGGGGATGGCACTTCTACTGGGATGAAGGGAGGTAGCCAAGTTGGACCCAGGCTGGCCTGTACCAGAGCGTCAGCGTGCCGCCGCAGCATCCCACACCCACGTGACCCGGCAGCGCGTGGTAGGCTCAGGGCCTCCTCAGGCTGTCTGGCAGCCCGGGGTGGCTCTGCCCCTGCCCGGGGAGCTCCCGCCATGCGTGGCTTGTAAATGTGGTTCTTACTGATGGACACACTTGCACTCTGGCCCTGCCACTCGGGAGCTGGGTGACTTTGCTCAGGTTTCCTAAATGAGCCTCAGGTCCTTCCAGGCACAGGGGTGGGACCACCTGGTCAGACTGGTAAGAGTGTGGGTGACGCAAAACAGCGCACGGTGCCACGGCCACAGCTAAATGAGACCATTTACTCTTTTTTTTTTTTTTTAAGATTTTATTAATTTGACAGAGACACAGCGAGAGAGGGAACACAAGCAGGGGGAGTGGGAGAGGGAGAAGCAGGCTTCCCGCCGAGCAGGGAGCCCGATGCGGGGCTCGATCCCAGGACCCTGGGACCATGACCCGAGCCGAAGGCAGACGCTCAACGACTGAGCCACCCAGGCGCCCTGAGACCCTTTACTCTTAAGAACGAAGTTGACCGTGGGGGTTTGTGCCAAGGAAACTTGAAGAGTGGAGTGACAGTTTGTCACGGCCACAGTGAGCCCTGCAGCCACGCAGAGCACAGCGTCCGGCTAGTGAGGTTCCCTGTGGTGCCGGGCTGCCGGGCTGGGAATGCTCCCACGCTGGGGCTGGGAGGAGAAGAAAGGCAGCTCGGTCAGGGCGCAGCCCGGACGGACCACGGCCGAGGGATCTCGTGCACTTGTCCTCCGACTGCAGGAGACTGTGCCCTTTGGAGACGCAGTACTGGCCACCTGGGACACCTGCATCGGGAGCGAGATCTGCGAGGAGCTCTGGACGCCCCACAGGTCAGCCTCGGCCCCATGTGCACGGCAGCCCTGGCGGCGTGGCCTTGGGCTGTGGAGACATCGGGGCTGGGAGGGCAGGGCAGGGCGCGCAGCCTGTCACTTCTGTCAACCGCCTCTGCCCACAGCCCGCATGTGGACATGGGTCTGGACGGCGTGGAGATCTTCACCAACGCCTCGGGCAGCCACCACGTGCTGCGCAAAGCCCACGCCAGGGTGGATCTGGTGACCATGGCCACCACCAAGGTAGGCGTTGGGCCACGAGGCTGGAGCGTGCATGCTGCGAGCTGGCGCCGCGTCCCACACACCCGAGTCCCCAGAGCGCAGGCGGCAAGGATGCATGGTGGGCATCGGCGCCCGTAGTTGTGGCCCGTGCTCAGCAAACGTGCACGGGCTCCTCTTCTGGGGCCCCACCTGCCTGACCTCCTTTAACCCTGGCCGCACCCCAGGGAGGCAGGCGCTCCTACCCCTGCCTGCAGAGCAGGGCACCTGGTTCGCGGCGTCCAGTGGCCACGGGCTCACACCCCCAGGTCCCTGCTGCGTGCAGGCAGTTTCCCTGCAGGGGCGCTGTTTATGGTGTGGTGGGAGGGCCGAGGAAGGGCAGGTGACATCCCGCCGCCACTCGCGTTTTCAGAACGGGGGGATCTACCTGCTGGCCAATCAGAAGGGCTGTGACGGGGACCGGCTCTACTACGACGGCTGCGCCCTGATCGCGATGAACGGCCGCATTTTTGCGCAGGGGGCCCAGTTCTCCCTGGACGACGTGGTAAGAGTGAGCTCACTCACGCCCCTGGGAGTGACTGTGCCAGGGGGAGCAGGCTGTGTGGTGACAGCAGAGCAAGGGACCCCTGGGTCCCCCGGGAGGACGTGGAGCTGCAGCCGCCTCGGGAATCAGCAGGCACCGGTCCTCACAGCGAGGAGGGGCGTTTGGTGGGCGGCCTCATCCACAGGAGTGGGGCAGAGGGGAGCTCGGTGAGGCCACTTGAGACCCACTCGCTCTTGCCCACGCGTCCAGGCGTGTGCATGTCAGCTGTAGGCCTGACACCACCCTGCCCCCACGTCGGAATGCTCAGCTGTCTTCAGGCCAGGTCGATGTGGCCCGGACACTGGGCCGCATGTCCGAGCCGCGGGCACCTTGCCCAGGACTGATTGGCAGTGGACTGGGGTCACCTGCACCAGGAGGAGCAGGCGTGTGGGTCCCTGCAGGCTCTGGGCCCCAGCCAGGCCTCAGGGCTGGATACCTGGGGATCTGCAATTTAAGCACATACCCAGGTGATCCGTAAGCACACGAAAACCCGAGGACCGTTGCCACCCTTTTCCCCGAGGGGGCTCGCAGGCTGGAATTATCTGATTTTGTCCGAGCGTTCAGGGAGAGAGAGCATCACCATCCTCGGGCCGTGCTGTCCTGCCACGTCCTCCGTGATCCGCCCAAAATGATCAGAAGAGATGGCGTGGCACACAGAGCCGTCGCACAGAGCGGCAGAGTTGCAGACCGTGCCCCAGGACATGCTCCTCGGGGTCTTCTGAACCTCGTGGGCTGGCTGGCACCGTGGATGCCTCGGTCAGGCGTTTATGTTGATGCTAACCTGTTTTGGGGAAAAGTGGAATGGGACCTTCTTCTCATGAAAAAGATTCAAGCCAGAGTTTTTGGTTTTTGGTTTTTTGTGGCTTCACTCTTCCCTTGGCTTTTTCGCATGGAAAGTACGGTGGCTCACCTTGGTGGCCCATCACTTTGGGAAATGACAGGAGGACCGAAGGACAGATGAGCTCCATTTTCTGTTTCTCTCTGTGGAAGTGTCCAGCCTGGGTCGGGCCCGGTGTTGACAGCGGCAGATGCCCACAGGCCTGTTAGCAGGAGTGTCCCGTGTCACGCAGTGGTGCACAGGACTAGCTCCCGCTGCCCCCGACTTGCATGCAATGACACAATATTCTAGTGACCTAAGTCGGCTAGGAGTATTTTTTATGAAGATAGGAATAATATAAATGAGTTCAAACTTTTTCTTTTTTACCGTTTTTTAAAAGTTTATTCTTTTTCTGTCTTGTGGTATTTTTTATTCGTAATACTCCTGTCTCATCTGGCTGCGAAGGCAGGACGTGTCGCCACGATCACACGGGCAGCACATCCAGGCCCCTGGCGCGGATCGCCGGGTCTGTGGCTCCACCTCTCTGCCGTACTCCAACCTGGCCTTCCTCTGTGTGGGCTTGGATCTGGGCTTGCCTCTCCTCCTGGTCACAGGGTGGCTGCAGCAGCTCTGGCCATCTCATCTCCACACAGCCACGAGTGAAGCAGAAAAGGGGCTCTTGTTCCCGAGAGTCGTTTTAAGAGGGGAGAAGCTGTCTCAGAAGTCCGTGGCAGAAGCCCGCGGCAGAATCGGGTCCTGTGCCATGATTGAGGCTGCCACGTGTCTGAGTTCACTGGGGGCTTTGGGGGCAACAGCGAGAGGGAATGGCTTTGGGTCAGCAACAACACTGGCTGTCCCCTCTCCCTGGGCCCCTGGGAGCCCACAGGTCCCCAGTCCTGCCTTAGAAGGCGTGACTCTGTGCAATTTGGCACACCCATGAGAACAGCCAAATCACATGTGCGAGTGGGAGAAACAGGAAACACGCTTTGTCTTTGAAACCCCTTCTCTAGGAAGTCCTCACCGCAACGTTGGATTTGGAGGACGTCCGAAGCTACAGGGCGGAGATTTCATCTCGCAACCTGGCGGTGAGTTCGTAGGGACACACGCTGGTGCCTGACAACGCCCCGGGGACTCTTCTTAAATTCTTTATGTACTGATTGCGTTATTGAGCTGTTATTCCCGTGCCACACGGCGGTGCGGTGGTTTCGGGCATCCTCACGGGGTTGTGCAGCCGTCCGCACGTCAGCACAAAAGAAACTCAGAGCCGCTAGCCTCGCTCTGCAGCCCCCTCCTGCCCCGCACAGCCACCAGCCTGCCTTTGGTCTCTGGGTTGTGGGCGTTGCACGTACATGAAATTTCATCTGGCTTCTGTCACTGAGCACAACGTCCGCAGGGTCCCTGTCCAGCAGCTGTCAGGGCTTCGTGCCTTTTTACAGCCAAACAATGGCCCACGGAACGGGCGTGCTACACAGTGATGATCCAGCCGCCGCTGAGGACACAGGGACCGTGTCTGTTTTATGTGATGAATGATGCTCTCCAAACGTGTGTACGAGATCTCGTGAGGACGGTTTCTCTTGGGTGTGCACCTGGGCGGGGAGCTGCTGGGCCACACGGTCACTCCGTGCGTTCATCTGTGAGGGACTGTCAGACCGTCCACAGCAGAGGCCCCTCCACGTCCGAGGCTTCCAACACTGGGTCCCATCTGTCTTTCTGACTCCAGCCATCCCGCTTGGAGCCACGGCACCACTGAGGCTCTGAGGCCCGTTGCCAGGGGCTTGCTGCTGCGGGGGCGTCATGTTGTCACAAATCTCCGTCAGCAGGCCAGCAAGGTGAGCCCCTACCCCCGTGTGAAGGTGGACTTCGCCCTCTCGTGCCACGAGGACCTGCTGGAGCCGCCGTCAGAGCCCGTCGAGTGGAAGTACCACAGTCCCGCGGAGGAGATCAGGTGGGCGGCCTCTGCCCACAGGGAGGGAGGGAGTGGTGCTGGTCCCGGGGCACCGTGCCAGGGGGCGGGGGCCGGAGCAGTGTGGGCGGCTGGTTCCCAGAACCTGCCCGGGGTGGCCATTCAGTGAGGAGGAGGCCGTGCGGCATCAGGGTTGAGGGCGTCGGGGGCGCAGCCAGTCGGCCTGGCTTCTTCACCCAGCCCTGCCGCGTCCTGGTGCTGGGGCCTTGGGCACAGAGGCCCTGCTTGTCCTTTCCTTTTCGTGTCTTAGTTTTTCTGTTTCAAAATGGGGCCAGAAGATAATCACCTACCTCCCAGGGCCATTGGGAGACAAAAATGCATTAATTCCTGTGAAGCGCTTAACACAGAGACTTGGTGAATCGGGAGGGCCCCTCCCCCTGGCAGTTCTGCTTGGTGCTGCTCCTGCCTGGGCCCCTGCCCCCAGGTAAGCTGCAGACCAGGTCAGCGGCTCCCAGACCTCACGTGTCCCCTTGCTCTCCAGCCTCGGACCCGCGTGCTGGCTCTGGGACTTTCTGAGACGCAGCCGGCAGGTAAGATGTCCAGTGCTTGTGTTTGATTCCATGGCAGCCTAGGGATTTTCTTTTTTTCATGCTGCGTCCATCAGGAGCTTAGTCTATGTGAGGCAGAGGCCAGAGGGCACACAGAGATTTGACTCCATCTCTGGAGTCCTGTCTGATGACACTCAGAGTGATGAGACAGCATCCCCTGCTGGTCCCGTGCGCCTGATGTCTGTACTGGGCAGAGCGAGTCCTAGATGCCCTTTACAGCCCTTCATGGCGAGAGGGCTCTTTTCTTTCTGGAAAACCCGTCTGAAATGTGTGGCGCATCTTTGTTCCCCTCCACCGTCTGTGGGTGGAGCTGGGCTAAGTTTGGGCTAAGTTGCTCCTCCGAGGCTCTGCTCACACCTGCCTTTGGTTGGCCCATTCCAGGCCGGGTTTTTCTTGCCCCTGAGCGGCGGGGTGGACAGCGCAGCCACCGCCTGCCTCGTCTACTCCATGTGCCACCAGGTCTGCGAGGCCGTGAAGCACGGAAGTAGGTGGCGTCCGCTGGTCTAAGCAAGGTTCCAGGGGTGGGGACTGGGCTGAAGAGAACCCCGGGTCCTGGCCATCATGGGGGAAGGAGGCTCTGCAGATGTGCTCAGATGTCCCAGCAGGACCTGGGGACAGCAGGCCATTAAAGCCCCTTCTTGGGGCTCGGGCCCATGTGGCCGTGTCCATCAAGCCTTCCGCCCGCTGCTGGGCGCTGGCAGTGTGGCCCCGACCTCGGGCTCAGGCAAACCCGGGTCAGAATCCTCCCCCGTGCACCCTGTGTCGAACATCCCCTTGGCGTGCCCGCCAGAAACACGAGGGAGAGGCTCTGTAGGTGGAGACGCTGCCTGAGTGAAGGGAGGGACTGGGCTCTGAGCCCCGTGCACAGCCAGGGGCCGCTACCTGCTACCCGCCGTCTGGTGGTTTTCAGACCAGGAAGTGCTGGCTGACGTCCGGGTCATCGTGGACCAGCTCAGCTACACGCCCCAGGACCCCCGGGAGCTCTGCGGGCGTGTGCTGACCACCTGCTACATGGCCAGTGAGAACTCGTCCCAGGAGACGTGTGACAGAGCCCGGGAGCTGGCCCGGCAGATCGGAAGGTAGAGGGGGTGGCCGGCACTGGGGGGCTGCTGCGGCGGGACCCGCACCACCTGAGGCCCCGCCCAAGCCCACACTCATGCTTAGATGCGTGTCCAGGGTTGAGCAGGTTGCTACGGTCTCTCGTGAACCAGGTTTTAGGGAGACCGTATCCGTTCCACCCAGAGCCCAGCCGTGTCTGATTGCCACCCGTCCTTCCCTTCATCCTTGCATCCTAGGTGCCAGCCAGCAGGGCTCGTGGGCGCCCCCGTGTAGGAGCCCGGGACCCCGCTCACCGCTCTGGGGAGTGTGCAGGCTCTGTGCTGGCCGCTACCCTCTCCCACCCAGCGGGCTTCCTGTACCTGGGGAAGGGGGAGGGGCGGCCTCTCTCCCGATGGGGCGCCTCGGTCCATTCGGGCTCTTCGTTTCTTCTGCCGCTTGGGGAACAGTGCAGAGCTGCCCGTTGCCTGTGCCGAGCTCAGCTAAAGCCCCCAAGCCGTGCTGCTCCTGGCCGCGTCCCCCAAGGAGCTGAAAACGGGCTCAAACAGACATTTGTGCCCAGGCTCACGCAGTAGCCCGAGCGCAGAAGCAGCTCAAGCTGTTGGGTGACAGATGGATGAGTAAACGAGATGAGTTCTGGGCAGAGAATGGGGTATCTGTCGGCCTCAGAAAGGAGGGACCCTCTGACACCTGCTACCTCTTGACAACCCTGGAAAATGTGATGCTCGGTGAAATCCGCCAGGCGCTAAGCATCAGGGACCACGGGAATGCCCAGAATAGGCAACCCTACAGGGACAGAGAGCAGGGCGGGTGCAGACGGGCACCGGGCTCCCTGGGGCGCAGGCGCGTTCTGGAACCGGATAGAGATGCCGGCTGCATAGCACCGTGAGCTCACCCCGAGCATGCGCTTTCACACAGCTGGAATGGTGAATCCGGGGTTACGTGTGTTTTACCACATGTGCACGCACACACCCGTGCACACCCACCCTGCCCTTTCCCCGGCAGCCACCACATTGGTCTCAACATCGACCCAGCGGTGAAGGCCGTCATGGGCATCTTCAGCCTGGTGACGGGTAAAAGGCCTCTGTTCGCGGTTCACGGAGGAAGCAGCAGGGAGAACCTGGCCCTGCAGAATGTGCAGGTGAGCCTCCCAGCCAGGCCCTTGTCCCCGCGCGGGAGCCGCAGGGAGCCCGGGGCCTCATGGACAAGGCTGAGGGTGTGCGTGCACCCGTGTGTGAGTGTGCAAGAACTAGAGGACGCGGGGTTGTCCGAGAGTGCTGCCTGGGTGGAAGCTTGTGTGCTTGCGTGTGAGTGCACAAGCGTGTGCGTTAGAGGTGGGGGGGGAGACGTGCACACGCAGGTGTGAGGGTTCTGCATCTTCAGGGAGTGGCTCCACACACCCTACCTCTGGGGCTCCCGCCGGGGAGCCAGACACTGGCTGGTTGGTGGAGGGAAAGAGGGACCCTGGGCTCCAGCTGCTGTGCTCTGTCCCATCTCTCTCCCTTTTCTTTTGGCCAAGCGGCCTTCCCTCCTCCGGAAACGCTGGCTGTGAAGGGGGTGCAAAAAGGGGCCGAGATTTCTTTGCAGCCCCATCCCGCCCTGGAGCTCTCTCGGCTCCCCGGCTCCGGGTCCGTCTGTCTGGGATACGGTGCCGCCTGCCACGCGTTCATGAGTGTCGTGGCAGCTGTCAGGCCCGGAGGACCCTGCTTTCTCTGGACGCTAGAAATCTACGCTACTTGGAGCCCCTTTCCCTGGAGCTGTATGGGGGGCAGGGGCCAGTGTGCGTGTGTCCTCCCATGTCCAGCATAGGGTGACGTTTCCTGTCGTGTCCCCCAGGCTCGGCTAAGGATGGTCGTGGCCTATCTCTTCGCTCAGCTGAGCCTCTGGGCCCGGGGCGCTCACGGTGGACTGCTGGTGCTCGGATCGGCCAACGTGGATGAGAGGTGCGTGTGCCCGACTCCCGAGCACCCCAGATCTCCAAGGGTGCATGCTCCCCAAGACGGTGTTTCCAGGCCCCCACCCGTTCTCACTGCGTCTGCAAGACACACATTGTGAGGGTCACATCACCCCGCAGCACAGGCCACGTCATTACTTCAAACCTTCCCGATGACTCGGATGTGGAGACAGGTCAACACTGTTTCCTTCTGGCTCCCCACCCACCGGCCCGGCTCAGACCAGCTGCACCCGCCTTGGGGCTCTTCCTTTGCACTGGGTCTGGAATCTGTCTCCCCACCCCGCCTCTCTTGGTTTCACCCATCTCTCTCCTGGGCAGTTCCGCTGCGTCCTAGGCCCTTGCTCTGTCCAATTTTCACTCCCAAGCAGGTACCTCATCTCTGATGTGGATTTGAAATACTTTCTTGTATTGCTCACTGGTCGAAAAAACTCAGAGTCTCTCTATTGTTCTCTAGATAAATTTCAGCTGACTGTTAGGGTGAGCAGCGGAGGCTGGGAGGACTCCTCCAGCCTTGGTTTCTCCGTTTCTCTCCGGCGGGCCTTGTTAGCAGAGGGAGTCAAGAAATGTATCTGTCATTTATTCACCTATTCATCTGTGCATCAGTCCATCCATCCATCCATCCATCCATCCGTCCATCTGTCCATCCACTCACCCATCCATCCATCCATCCATCCATTGTCCCACTCACCCACCCATCTGTCCATCAGTCTGTCCACTCATCTGTCATCCATCCACCCATCTTTCTAGCTGTATCATGAGTGTCTTAAATCTTTCTACGTCCTTGCACGTCTCCAAACGTGTTCTCTGTTAAATATTATTTTGTACTTTTGGATCCTATTTCCTACTTGTGACAATTTGAAATTAGCACCTTTTAGCTGGTAAAAAATTCTCCCCATTCTCGTTCACATTTTGTCAATTTCCATTGCTTTTTTTGTTACCTCTGGTGTTTCTGTAAGGAAAGGATTTTTCAGGTGGGGTGTGACGTCTGGTGCATATCCCGAACCTGATGTAGTTGAGAATATTGGTGTGTTCTGTTTTGTTTGCTTTTGAACACGAGTTTGACTTGTCATGTTTGATACGGTGCCACTACCATAATTATTTTATTGCAATATTTCCCATCACAATTCTTATCCGTTGTCTTTTGGAATTTAATATTTAAGCAAAAAATAACTGATTTTTTTTTTCCAGGGTGGGAATGGGCTTCTGGGTGCTTAAAGCCAGGCTAAAAGCTAGGCCTCTCTTACGGGGACATAGAAGTCTGTCTACAGCTGCAGAAACTTTTCAGTTGTGCTTCCCCTGTTGTCTTTGTTTCCTGTCCCCGCTGGGACGACTGTCCCTCGCTGCATCCCCGTCTACGATCCCTCCGTTGCTCACATACCAGGGTAGAGCCTCCAGTCTGAGTCTCTGCTGTACTGGTTCTCGTTTAAATGTTACTTCTCATCCTAACTTTGGTTCCGTTGCGTTCTGATTTGCTCACTCAAGGAATTGATAAAACGTGTGCCACATGTCAGGTGGTCTTCTTGATGCTGTGAACAAAACAGCAAACTAATTCCCATTTTATTCTAGTGGAAGGAGACAGGTAATAGGAAAACTAATCACGTATGTAGGAAGTGGAAAGCCTACAGAGAAAACCAGGGTAGGCGCGGGGAGTTTGGGCATTTGGGCTTGTAAGTAGGGTGGCCAGGGAAGGCCTCTCTGAAAAGTTAGTTTGTAAAGGAGGAGGGGAAATGCAGCCAGGAGAACAGCCTGTGCAAATGTCCTGTGGTGAGAGCCCACCGGGACAGAGAGCGATTGTCACCTGTCTGCAAAGCCCCATCTTGTCCGAGGGAGGTCCCGGGAGCCCAGCTGGGACAGGTTGGAGGAGAGTGGTGGGTGAGGACCGCGGGTTGGCTCTTTCTAGAAGTTTCACCTGCAGGAGAGGGGAGGTGCAGGGTGGAAGCTGGCAGGAGCAGTGAGACAGGGGAAGGTGTTTTCTTAAGGTTTGATGAGAGAGGTCTAGCCGTTGCTGATGAGGAAGGGGGACGTGGGTGGACAGCTGCTGTGCCGTCACGAGGAGGTGGGAGCGGGCGGCCAGGCGAGGGGCCGGCTTTATTGGGAGCCCAGCTAGTGTGTCCACGGAGTAGCAGGAGGCCGCAGAGCGGACGGCCCAGATGCGGGTGGGGGGAGGTATAGGGTCGGGGCTGCGACTGCCCTCTCGAGGCAGGAAGCAGTCACCAGCCGAGCGGGGGTGCGGGGCGGGTGGTGGGCATTTGAGGGGAGTGGTGACGAGCGAGCGAGACAGGTCAGGGAACCAGGCGGGCAACGCCAGCCCTAAGGACGCCCCGGAGGTGGGGTTGCACTTTGCAGCCAGCCGTGTCCAGCTGCATATGCGTGTGGAGCGTGGGAGCCGGGCGAGGGTGGCAGAGAGAGGGGGACGCGGGAGCTGAGGAGCCGCAAGGAGGGGTGAGGAGGAGTGAGCACGAGGCAGAGGCCAGGTAAGCCACAGACTCCGCGTCCTGGTGCGGTGGAGCCTGCAGGAGTGAGCCGTCACCCCCGTGTCCCGTGATCCGCTGGGAGACGGACCAAGCATCGGGCCATACTCGTGGCTGTGGTTGATTACAGCCAAAGGTTGTAGAGTGGAAGGCACATGGAGAAAACCAGGCCCAGGCTTCCAGAATCGTCTCCCAGGGGAGCGTCACCAATGTGCTTCCTCCCCCGGCCGCACCTGTGACAGCAGGGAAGCGTGTCAGAGACTCCGTGCCCAGGGGTTGCGCCGGGGGCTGGTCACATGGGCACCATCCCCCTGGCATGGACCAGGCTTTCGCTCCCAGAAGGAGAGCAGTGCTTAGCACCAACCAGTTCACGCTGCCTGGGGGGGTGGGGCCGGGGGACGGCAAGGCGTGCTTGGCTCCTGGTGTATTTTGGCATCACAGGGAGAACCGACAGGATTTGCTGGTGGACCAGACGTGGGGTGAGGATGCCCAGGCCAACCCGAGCCACCAGAAGGACGGACTGGCGTTTGGCCAGATGTGGAGGCGCAGGAAGCGGGTGGGGAGCTCAGGGTCCAGTGCCGGGAATGTCGGCTTTGACACGTCTTCCAGACATGCGCATGGAGGTGTGTGGTGGGCAGTCATACGGGGATTCTGGAGCCCCGGTGTGAGCCGCACCCGCAAATCTGGAAGTCTGCAGACGGCGAAATGCCGTTTAAAGCTACGAGGGCAGCTGGGCCTGTGGGACTGAATGTTGACAGAGAAGAGAGTGGGTCGGGGGGCCCAGATTCCGATACGAGGAAGCTGCCGCTGAGCACCCAGCCGGTGCGCTTGGAACCAGGAGGACAGGCGCCCAGAGCCGGGCAGAGGGGCTGTTTCGGGGTGGCTGGTGCTTGTCACTCGGGTGGGGAGTGGGGAGCACTGGCGGCTTTTTACTGGAGAGGCCAGGGCAGGGAGCTGGCGGCGAAGCTCGAGAGAGAGCAGGAGGGGAGTGGACGCGGCCCCGAGAGGTTCGGCTTGGGGGGCAGGGGCACATGGGCCGAGGGGGGACAGGAAGGTGGCAGCCGTCAGGCGTTACCTGTGCTCACGGGAGTGGAGGGGGCCGGCTGTTGGAGCCCGTGAACCTGCCTGTTAGCGGGCTGTCCCAGCCGAACATTGTCAGCTCCCGGTGCTTCTCGGAGCAGGCTGGAGGAGGCACACGGTGGGATGGAGCCCATCGTCCCCTCTGGCCAGCAGACCCTGTCCCCACTCAGCCGCCCCTTCAACAGGAGGGGGAGCGGTGGAGCGGCCACCTCGGGGTGGATGGGAGGAGCCCCACTCAAGGCGGCACCAGGTTTGCCTGCTCCTCTGTTTGGTGCTCTGGGGGTCTTACGCCCGAGGCCCGGCTCTGGGGCAGGAGTCTGGAGGAGGAACAAGACCTGGGTCTTTGTCTCAAGCAGCAGGAGGTCAGTTGTGAGGGTGGAGGGGGCCCCATGCTCACAGGACAGGTGTGTTTTCAGCCAGACCGGGCACAGGACATCAGGCAGAACGAGCAGCTGTTCTGGTGCTGGTGTCGAAGTGTGGGCTTGGGCGACACAGGCAGAGGCTGGGCCTTGGAAGGCCACCAGCAAGGGGGCTCAGGGACACATGGCGGGGTCGGGAATCACCTTGTGGGAGGGTGGGGGCGGTGGGGGGACCTGGGGATGTGGTGGAGAACTGCTGTCCAGAGGTGGGTGTAGAGGGAGGCGTCCCCTGGACGGTGTGGGGTAGCGAACGACCAGGGAGTCAGTGGCCCAAGCACACAGTGTCCTTTCGCCATTGTGTACGAACCCAGTTCAGTATGGATCTCACTGGGCTAAACTCAAGTTGTTGGCAGGGCTGGTTCCTTCTGGAGCTCGGGGTCCCTCCCTCCCCCAGCAGAGCCTGCGGGGCAGCATCTCTACCTTCCTCCCGGCTCACAGCACCTTCCGGCCCTGCTGCCCACCTTCCTCCTAGACCCGTAAGGATGCTTGTGAGTGCATTTAGGGCCACCTGACAATCCAGGATGAGAGCCTCACCTCGAGGTCTTCACCTTAATCCCATCTGCAGCCCCATTGGCCTTGGGGTCCCATGTTCACAGGTTCTGGGTAGAGGTTGTGGGTGTGTTCGGAGGCCACTCTTCAGCCCCCTGCAGGAGGTATCTGGGAGGAGGAACTCACAGGCATGGGGAGGTGGCCCGGCCGCCATGGGCTCAGCCCTCAGCCCCCCATTCTGCCAGCCCTGGCCTTCAGACATGCTGCTCCCAGCTGGACGCCAGGCATTCCCAGGTCTGTCTCCCGGCTCCCACGCCTTCTGAGGAGTGCCAAATACCTCCCCTTGGTCATCTGCCGCCTCGGCCCCTTTGCGGACGGCTCCGGCTGTGCCAGGCGTGTCTGAGACCCTCCAGCTGGCCGAGCTCTGGCTCCGGGTGTTGACAAGGGCTCGGACCCCAGGCAGGATCTGCAGCCCCTCAGGTTAGCCATGTGGAAATCCTGTGTTCTCTCCCCATAGTCTCCTCGGCTACCTGACCAAATATGACTGCTCCAGTGCGGACATCAACCCCATCGGTGGCATCAGCAAGACGGACCTGAAGACCTTCGTCCAGTTCTGCCTGGAGCGCTTCCAGCTCCCTGCCCTGCAGGGGTGAGTGCCGCCCGCGAGACCACAGCTGCGCCCAGCATCGGCCCCTTCCACAGCTCCCTCCTGCCTGTTGGAAACGGTCCCGCCCTTCAGCGGGCACTTGGGGTGCCGTGACCCGGCAGCCCCCTTCGCGTCAGTGCTCCCCTGGGCCCCCCAGGGACTTTGGGCGATGTCTTTAGACCTTGTAGGTGATGGTAGCAGTGTGCTCATGGCATCTAGTGGGTAGGTGCCCCTAGGTGGCCTGCATCGCCCAGGACGGCCCCACAAGAACGCATGACCTGCCCGTGGGGTAGCCCCTGCCGTCAGTTCTTTCCCCAGGTCACAAAGCCCCCCGACATCCACGTCTGTCTCCCCAGGAAAGCCCAGCCCCAGCTCGGGGTTGACAGGGGCATTGCTGGAGACCAGTCGTTGCGCCTGGGACAGTTGGTTTGGGGGTTTCTCCCCACGCTCACGAGCTCTGTAGTAGCCACCACGGCTAACCTCCGTGTGTCTTGGCCGCAGCATCCTGGCAGCACCAGCCACCGCAGAGCTGGAGCCCTTGACCGATGGACGGGTGTCCCAGACAGATGAGGTAGTGCTGGTGGCTTTGTCACCGTTCCCCATCTCCCTGCTTCCTCATGTCCATGCTGGGCTCTTTCATGGCCTCCTTTCTGCCCCAAGCAACCAGGGAGCCCAGGGTTCAGCGCCTGTCCCGCTGCTGACCTTGGACGTTTCGCTTCGGCCTTCTTGAGGCTGACCCCCGGGCGGAGGGGTGAGTGGGGCAAGTCTCTTGCAGGTAGCAGGGGCGCGATCTCACAAGAATCACTCTTGACCCTGGCATCCCATGCTGGCTTGCAAGCGATGAGGGCCGGTCGGGGCCATAGGCTGTGGTGTGCAGCTTCCGTGGTCGAGGCTGGAGTGGCCGTGAGCCGTTGCAGAGTCTGTGACAACTGACCGTTCTGCCTCCAGCGCCTTTGGACACAGAGATTTACTTGTGCTCATCCCAAGAGTTTGTAGATTTAGTCTTATATTTAAGGCCGCGACCTGGTTGGGGTAGTTTTTGTGTGTGGTGTGAGGAAGGGATCCCACTTGGTGGTCTTGTTGAAGAGACAGTTCTCCCGCGGAGTACCTCGCCATCCTGGTGGAAATCAGTTAGCTGTAAGTGTGTGGACCCATTCCCAGACTCTGTCCCACTGACCTGTGTGTCCATCCCTGTCCCAGAACCTCACTCACTCGGTAACCGCAGCTTGGTAGGAAGCTTTGATATCGGCAAGTGGGAGTCCTCCCACTTTGTCACTCTCTCTCAACGTGATTTTGGCTGTTCTGGGCCCTCGGAATTTCCATATGAATTTTGAGATCAGGGTGTCATTTTCTGCCGCACACACGGCGCCAGCTGGGATTTCCACGGCAGGTGCGCTGAGTCTGTAGCTCGATTTGGCAGGTGTTGCCCCCTGAGAATATGAGGTATTCTGAGCCCTGGACGTGGCATGTCTCCGTCTTCACTTCGGGCCTCTTACTGTCTCAACGTTTTGCAGCTTTCAGAGCGTGAGCGTGCACTTGTTTTGTTATTTATTTCTAAGCATGTTACCTTCTTTGTTCTCCCGTAAATGGAATTGTTTTCCAAGTTTCATTTTTGGGTGGTTCGCTACCCATGTCTAGAAGCACCTGACTTTGCAGCTCCTTTCTGTCTTCTCTTTCTTGTCCCTGCCACGTGTTCGAGGGTCAGTTTGCACTTCTCCCCATGTGGCATAAGGTGGAAAGTGAGGTCTTCTTTTTTAAAAAATTCCGCCCTTACCGCCACACCCCTGGGCCCCACACAAAGATGCCACGTCTTCATTTTCGCGTATCTCCAGGCACGTTCTAATTTTCCTCGTGATTTCTCTTCTCACCTGTCGGTTACTTGAGAGCCTGCAGTTTGATTCCCACATGTTCGTGAGTTCCTGAGATTTCCATCTGTCACTGAATTTGTGATCCTATTTCTTTATGGTCGGAGAGCAGACTTCTCCAGTGTTCTGAAATTCACGGAGGCCAGTTTTATGGCCTGTCATCTGGTCTGTCCTGCAGAATGTTTCGTGTGCCTCGAGGAGAATGTTTGCTCTGCAGTTGTGGGTGGAATGTTCTAGAGAGATCGGTTAGGTCTAGTCAGTTTGTAGGTTTCGAGTTTTCTCTCCCCTTGTTGGTTTTTTGGTCTAGTTTTGTGCATTATTGAAAGTGGGGTATTAAATCTCCAACTATTATTGTTGAAGCTAGGGAATTCAATGTTGCACTAGAAAATATTCACCTCACGCAGAGGAAAGCGGTAAAGGAGGTCCGTGGCATGACCCGCTAGGCACTGGGGCTCAGCAGTGAGCCAGCTGGGCCTGCCATTTTTATGTGAGGCCCTGGGACACACAAGCGGGAAGTAACCATGAGGGCTCCAGATGGCTCCTAGTGCTGCCCACACATTGACCCGGGTGACCCGAAGGTGGCCGTGTCCCTCCGATAGGGGTCAGGACAGGCCACCCCAAGGAGGTGACATTGGAGCTGAGGCCTGAGGGAAGGCCAGGGTGGGCAATGGGGAGTAGGGAGGAGGGCCTGGTCACAGGGGGTCCTGGTTGGAGGTGAGGGCCGTCCTGCCGTGCCGTGAAATGTCAGCGTCACCATCTGACTCTCTCATATGGCTCTGGCTGTATATTCTGGGGCACAGTGGGAGCTGAGGGGGGATTAGAGCAAATACGGAGAAATGCAAAAGGGGCTTGTGTGAGCCTCAGTGTGACGCTGGCTCTTTTGAGCCGGCCTGGGGCGTTCCGTGGCCAGTGTGACCCAGGTATCTGTGCTGAGCCGTCTGTCCTTAGGAACAGCGGGCTCCCTGGGGCGGGGAGCAGGGCCGGTCTGCAGGGGGGCCCTGCCTGGCCTTGGTCCTGGCTTCGGCCTCCTGGGCCTGCTGGAGCCAAACCCACCGGCCGGCACCTTAAACGAGAGACCCGTACCTTCTCACCATTCTGGAGGCCCAGAGGCCGAAATCAGGTCGTCTACAGGCCACGCTCCTGGCGGGACACTCCAGGGGAGGGTCCTCTGTGCAGCTCCCCGGGGCTACCTGGGCTTCGGCCACGCCCCCCCCACCCTGTCATCATGCGGTTTCTCCCCGGGCGTTCTGTTCCGTCTCGTATAAAAGCCCCCACATCCAGGGCCGTCTCATCTCAAGATCTTTCACTTAATTACATCCACAAAGACCTTTGTTTTCCCAAATAAACCCACAGTTTGCGGGTTCTGGGGTTTGGAGCATGGACAGAGCTCAGTCTGTCACAGCCCTCAAAACCAGGCTGGTCCTTTCTCCTAATGCCGGCTCCGTGGCACCAGGCGGTGCGGGGGAGTGAGCCCATGCTCCTGCTCGTGGCCCCGTGGGGACCTGCCCACCCCCAGGTCTCAGGTCCGTGGGCACTGGGGCCGCAAGCTGTCCTCCAGCGCTGGCCTGCTGCCTCTCCCTCTCCGCAGGGGGACATGGGCATGACGTACACGGAGCTGTCCGTCTACGGCAGGCTCCGGAAGATCGCCAAGGCCGGGCCCTACAGCATGTTCTGCAAGCTCGTCACCATGTGGAGAGACGTGTGTTCCCCGCGGCAGGTACGGCACATGCGGCGCTCGGCAGAGGGGGCCACAGACACAGTGCCCGCGGGGGTAGTCTGGCTGCCAGGAGCGACTCGGTGCGCCCTGGCCTGGAACGGAGGCGCTCTGTCGCCCGCGACACAGCACCCCATCGTCGGCTCCTCCGACTGGGGCCCCTGCCTGCTGTCTGGCTCGCAGTCGGGCCCGTTGGGGTTCACACGGTGGTCCCCACAGAACCGCCTGGAAGCCTCATGCCGTGCGTCTTCCTGCGCACCCCGCTTGGGTCCGCTGACGCGGCGTCCTGGGGCGCTGGGGCGGGAACCCACGCGGGACGGCCCAGCCAGCCGCCCGGGCGCACGTCCGTCCGCCGCTGCCCTGGGGGAGGCTGGCGCGCAGGGCTGGTAGCTGTGCGGTGTGATGCGGGCCTCAGCCCCGCGTGTCCTCGCCCACCAGGTGGCCGACGGAGTGAGGCGCTTTTTCTCCAAGTACGCTGCGAACAGACACAAAATGACCACGCTCACACCCGCGTACCACGCGGAGAGCTACGGCCCCGACGACAACAGGTTCGACCTGCGGCCATTTCTGTACCGCGCCGGCTGGCCCTGGCAGTTCCGGTGCATAGAGGATGCGGTAAGTGGGGCGCAGGCGGCTCTTCCCCGTGTCCGGCGTCTGTGGGGGAAACACCGGCTCGCTTCCGCTGAGGACCGGAAAGCTTTCTGTTTGCAGCGATGGTGTTTACTGTCCTCATGTCCGCGAAGGGCCAAGTGTGTGCTGTTTGTGCCGTGTCACTCAGCGAGCAGCCGTGTGGATGCGGGGCCCGTTGCCGTCGCTTCCAGACAACTCCAGGATCCAGACAGGCTCTCGTCTCCTCATCCCCCCCGGCTGGCCTTTCCTTTGCTAGTTAATAATCCAGCGAAGGAAGGATTAGCAGGTTCAGTTTAGAAAAGCAAGTCCCGCTTTCCCTTCCCAAGGCCAAGGGCTGGAGCCAGGGCACGGGGCACGTGGGACTGCCCTTCCTGGCGCAGGTAGCCATAGCCCATGGGAGGGAAGCCGGCCAGTGGGGGGCCCTCGATACACTGACCGTGACAAGCTGGGACGCGTGCAGAGTTGCGCCGGCGATCACGGCGGGACGGACGGACGCTCCATCTGTCTGGTGGCCGAGGGAGGTGTCTCTGTAGATGACGTGGATCTGGGGGATGGACCCCGAGTCAGACTACACATCCGGGCCGTGGTTCTCGGGGGAGGGGTCACCCCCAGGGACAGCAGGCCTTGTCTGGAGTTGTTCCCGGGGATGGCGTCGGGTGGGGTCTGTGTCATTGGCATCTGGTGGGCGGAGTGCGGGGACACTGCTGGTTCCAGGGGTGCCCAGGACAGCCCACCTCCAGACGAGGTATCAGTGAGAGGTGGGGCTTGGCTCCCCCACCCGCACTCAGCAATGGGTTCCCCCAAATCAGGAGTGGGGTTCGGAGGCCGTGCAGAGGTAGACCCCTCAGAAGACACACGTAGGCAGAGATACAATCTGCTGTGGTCTCTGCGTCTAGCAGGGACAGCCGTGATGTGCTGAGGCACGTCCTCCCAGACTTGACCAGCGCACATGCTCTGCATCCTTCCCGTGTCCTTAAGCATCGTGGGGACTGCCTCACGGGCTGCTCATCCAGTCCCGTGACCACCACCCTTGCTCGGTGCGAACCGGTGTGTTTTGACAGCATAGACATTCGCGTGTCCTGTCCGTCCAGGTTCTCCAGCTCGAGAGCAGGGGCCGTCAGGACCTGGATGGTGTTGACTGACGCCGGCTCCTGCCTGGAGGGCCCCTCCCGCAAGGGTCCCATATGTGAGGTGGGCCTCGCCAGTGACCGTGAGCAGGGGCTCAGCCACCCCTGCCTGGAGCAGCGTGCCAGCATCTTGTTTCACATCTCACGGGACAGGGATCTGTTCATTCTCGGTCCTTACAAAAAGGCTCAAGTAAAGAGAATGTGATTTCTGGGAGCAGAGTCTATGTGTGTGGTGGGTGGGGATGAGGAGCCTCCTCTTTCATCCCCTCCTAAGCCCCCCTCAATTCCTAGGATCCTCTCTTGGGGGCTAAGCCCCAGGGGATCGCAGCCTCCCTGGTGCAGAGGGAAGCTGAGATGGGATTGGCCACACTCACAGTCCCCCCGTTGCTGGGGAGGGGGCACAGTCAGTTTGGGGTCTGTGCTGCTTTCCCTGCCCAAAAGCCTTACCAAAGAAAAGAAACTTGTAAGCAAGAAAAGAAATTTATTGGTTAACATGTGGGACAGTGCAGGGCTTGTGATGGCTTCAGGTCTGGCTGGATCCAGGGTATGCACATGTCCTTAGAACTTGGTTCTCTCCTCCCCCTGCCCTGCTCAGCTCCTCTGCCTCTTCATGCTCCACATTGGGGCGCTACGGCCCCAGCCCTGCGAAATCCCCGGTGTAAATCCAGCAGGAAATTAGTGTGTGTATTTTCCTGCTGGGTCACACGCCCATCCCCAAACCAGTTAGCTACAGCACAGGGGCCCCCACAGAGGACCAGGAGGTGTTAGAGAGGCATGGAGAGTGGGTGGTGGGTCCTCAGACAACACACAGCCTTCCTGTCTGAGGCGACCGTTCCCAGGGGTGCTGCCATGGGCTATGGGCCTGCAAAGCCTGTGGGTAGACCTTTCCCTCACCTTCCCACAGTGACAGCAAAAGGCCCGCTAAATATGAATGAGGCTGCGCCGAAGGTGTGGGCCCAAGCAGAGGGAGCGACACATCTCTCTCCTTCCCCAAAGGCTGCCCCCATAAGATGGTGTCCATTCCTGGAATCCAGGGCCCCCCGCAGACCCAGGAGCAAAACAGCCATTCATCCCCCCAGCCCCAGAGGCCCGTTATTTCGTGACTTAAGCCAACCTGAAGACAACCTTTTACACAGGGAAGCAAAGCCATTTACTGCTCATTCCCAAAAAGCCTTGGCCTCAGAGACCCAGAAGCCCATTGCTACGGTCTGAATGTCTGAGTCCCCCCAAAACCAGATGTCGAAATCCTAATCCCCAAGGTGATGGCGTGAGGAGGTGGGGCCTTGGGGAGGTGACCCCAGAGAGCAGGTTCCCGGCCTTATGAAAGAGGCCCCAGAGAGCCCCCTGCCAGGGCCTCACCGGAGCACGCCGGCACCCCGATCTCTGGCTTCCCAGCCCCAGAACCGTGGCTCATTCCCGGTGTTTCCGAGACACCGTCAGGGTGCTTTTCCTAAAGCCAAGAAGCAGTTTACTCTTGGAGGAAAATTCAGTCCTCCACCGGGGAGGGTCCAGAAATAAAGACCCAACAGTCAAAGCTACTCTGTGAGCCGACATGGCCCTGGGGACGCCGAGGGCGGTCTCCCTCCTCGAAGGCTGGTTGCTGGCGGAGCCGACAGTGCAGACCCACAGACAGCTCTCCCCGACCCTGTCGGCAGCCCCCCAGCGTTGGCCCAGGGGGTGGTGACAGACGAGATCCAGGGGATGTGAACGTGGGGTCCAGCAGCTGAGGCGGGGACCCTCATGCCACTTCGCCTCCTGAGATGACCGTCAGCAAGGGGGACACGGTGCAGGCCTCATCACCCCACGGGTGTCCCGGGCAGGACGGTGCCCTCGCTGACTCCCTGGGGAGGGAGCAGGCACACCACATGACATCGTCGGGCCCCCCCCAGCTACAGGGTAGTGTCCCCCCAGTTATAGAGTGGTGACCCCCAGTTGTTCCCAGTTATAGGGTAGTGTCCCCCCAGC